AAAAAATAGTTAACGCAGACTATTTTTACGATGCTTCATTTAATAAATATTGAAATAATTCACGAGGTTATTATCAATCACGTGTTTACGTAATGTTAGACGCGAGATCAACATGAAAGTGAGCCGGAAAAAACCCATGCTATACGTATACGCATAGAAGATTTGAAAAAAAACTTACAGAACTTACATGGAACAGAGCTTAAATTGAACAACTACATTTTCCTAATAGTATGGGGAAACGCACCGAGATGTCGAAATGTAATGTCGTAAGTTGATCGGCGATTCTCTGGCATAGGAATTTGGCTAAACTTTCTTTGTTAACGGTTACCTATTTAATGAATCATAATACTTTTCACATAAACTCAGATAACAACACATTATGTATCTTTTATTAATGTTTGACATAAATAAATTTGTTGACCGTCATTTGTCTTAGAGTTCCGTGTACCAAGGGAGATAATCCAAGATGGCGATCTCCCAGAATCGTCGATCTTTTCCTGAAAAAAACTTGAAATTTTCTATACCTGTGTATTTTACGCACCCCCCACTTTGGGTATTAAATTTCTGAAAAAAAAGTGCGCAAATTACATGGGTTTTTACGGTACCAATATTTGACTGAAAAGTGTCCTGTCTTTGGTACAATGATGGTGAGTTATTTAACTATGGCCAAAACACAGTGACATGGATGTGACAACTTACTTCATTCCAAACAACAATTTCTTGTTCCTATGGTGAAAAACGTGTTTACAGACTTTCTCCACAAGTTTAAAGGGAAGTGGAATCATAGGCTTGATGCGTGGCAGGAAGTGCACCACACCCACATCTACCTTAGGCTTGGGAACAAATGCTGAGCCTACAAGAAACAATTTATATCATTTATTCTTCTATGAAACTACTGAAGTTGCAATACAAGGCAGTGCCATGAATTATTCAGCACAAAATGACAAACCTACAACACACAAAGTAATAACATTACGTCTTCTATATAGACAACACACAAAGTAATAACATTAAGTCCTCTATATAGACAACACACAAAGTAATAATATTAAGTCTTCTATATAGACAACACACAATGTAATAATATTAAGTCTTCTATATAGACAACACACAATGTAATAATATTAAGTCTTCTATAAACACAACACACAATGTAATAATATTAAGTCTTCTATAAACACAACACACAATGTAATAATATTAAGTCCTCTATATAGACAACACACAAAGTAATAACATTAAGTCTTCTATATAGACAACACACAAAGTAATAACATTAAGTCTTCTATATAGACAACACACAATGTAATAACATTAAGTCTTCTATATAGACAACACACAAAGTAATAATATTAAGTTTTCTATATAGACAACACACAAAGTAATAACATTAAGTCTTCTATATAGACAACACACAATGTAATAACATTAAGTCTTCTATATAGACAACACACAATGTAATAATATTAAGTCTTCTATATAGACAACACACAATGTAATAATATTAAGTCTTCTATATAGACAACACACAATGTAATAATATTAAGTCTTCTATATAGACAACACACAATGTAATAATATTAAGTCTTCTATATAGACAACACACAATGTAATAATATTAAGTCTTCTATATAGACAACACACAATGTAATAATATTAAGTCTTCTATATAGACAACACACAATGTAATAATATTAAGTCTTCTATATAGACAACACACAATGTAATAATATTAAGTCTTCTATATAGACAACACACAATGTAATAATATTAAGTCTTCTATATAGACAACACACAATGTAATAATATTAAGTCTTCTATATAGACAACACACAATGTAATAATATTAAGTCTTCTATATAGACAACACACAATGTAATAATATTAAGTCTTCTATATAGACAACACACAATGTAATAATATTAAGTCTTCTATATAGACAACACACAATGTAATAATATTAAGTCTTCTATATAGACAACACACAATGTAATAATATTAAGTCTTCTATATAGACAACACACAATGTAATAATATTAAGTCTTCTATATAGACAACACACAATGTAATAATATTAAGTCTTCTATATAGACAACACACAATGTAATAATATTAAGTCTTCTATATAGACAACACACAATGTAATAATATTAAGTCTTCTATATAGACAACACACAATGTAATAATATTAAGTCTTCTATATAGACAACACACAATGTAATAATATTAAGTCTTCTATATAGACAACACACAATGTAATAATATTAAGTCTTCTATATAGACAACACACAATGTAATAATATTAAGTCTTCTATATAGACAACACACAATGTAATAATATTTAGTCTTCTATATAGACAACACACAATGTAATAATATTAAGTCTTCTATATAGACAACACACAATGTAATAATATTAAGTCTTCTATATAGACAACACACAATGTAATAATATTAAGTCTTCTATATAGACAACACACAATGTAATAATATTAAGTCTTCTATATAGACAACACACAATGTAATAATATTAAGTCTTCTATATAGACAACACACAATGTAATAATATTAAGTCTTCTATATAGACAACACACAATGTAATAATATTAAGTCTTCTATATAGACAACACACAATGTAATAATATTTAGTCTTCTATATAGACAACACACAATGTAATAATATTTAGTCTTCTATATAGACAACACACAATGTAATAATATTTAGTCTTCTATATAGACAACACACAAAGTAATAACATTAAGTCCTCTATATACACACAATGTAATAATATTAAATCTTCTATATAGACTACACACAATGTAATAATATTTAGTCTTCTATATAGACAACACACAATGTAATAACATTAAGTCCTCTATATACACAACACACAATGTAATAATATTTAGTCTTCTATATACACAACACACAATGTAATAATATTTAGTCTTCTATATACACAACACACAA